GCAGGATTTCTATGCATTTGTTAAATATAAGCCCTACCCTGATAATAAGACCTAGTAATGCTCCATGCATTTAGGCATGGAGCAGTAAGGAGGACTGGAATACCTTTTATCTGCCACAGCTTCTTTCTCTGAGCCATTGGCACTTGCACTGGTGTGCATGTGGTAACCGCTGTCACAGGCATCCTCTTGTGCATGTGTGAATGGCTAGGGGAAAGGAGTTCATGCATCACTAGCGTCAGCCCCACCAACAAGGTCAGCTCACCCTGTCAGGTTCCAGAAGAAGATGACTTAACTATATTTGAATAAATGTAGATTGTTGTATTATACTTAATAAAAATAAGACATCCCCTGAAAATAAGCCCTAGAGTGTCTTCTTGAGAAAAAATAAATATAAGACTGTCTTATTTTGGGGGAAACATGGGTAGTAGCTAATGGAGAAAAGGAATTTTATTTACATTGTTGTTCCCATATATTGAAATGAAGCAAATATAATAGAACACTTATTATGTGTATCTGATCCTGTTTCCTATCTCCCCTAAATGCTATCCGTTCTTTAAAATGTTAACCTACCACTTGTACATGTGAAGAAAATATAGTTTTATTTTTTACAAAGATAACTGGTCTAAACTTCTCATAGGCCCTCATCACCCTTTTCTTATATTTAGTTTGGAAATGATGAGTTAAACTTAACTATCATTCAGTTTCTTCCAGTCCCATTTGGGTGAATGCTAAGTTTTCTCCCTTTCTGTTTTCCAGAGAATGGCATGTAGGTAGCTGATCATGCCTTTTGATTTGCTTGGGACAGTCCTAGTAAATCTGTGCTGTTCTGACATAATTCTTAGTAGAGCATCCTTTCACTCTCAGAAACATTACAGCTGGGCAAATAGTCATGCTAGAGGTGTATAGGCTTAGGGACAGACCTTGTAGCAAGGATGAGGGAAGGATGAGATTGCACCCTGAGGGTATGTGGGATCCATAAGTTGCCTGAATTTTTACTGATTTATGCTGCCAGTTCCTAGATTGGTTCTGAACTTGGACTGGGCTTCACTGATAAAGTCATTGACTGGTAAATTCAAGGCCTTATTTAGGACACTAGGTCCTCCATTGCTGATTTTCTCTCACCTTAGCTTTTGTTGTTCCCCCAAACTCTTTTATTCTTGTTAAAGTCTTCTATCAAGTGTTTGATTAGGCTGCCTTTTGGCAATCTTTGTGACAGAGTCACCTCACCACAGCACTCCACTACCAGGTATTTTGGCTTGACCTTTGATCACTTCCTACATTGCCTTTGGTGCCTTAAGAACTTGATCACAATGTACAGGCATTAAGGGGATCCCAAGAAAGCTAAGATTCCTCTCTCTGCCTGAACATCCCAAGTTTTTATTTTAATGTTCAGTTTTAATTTGTGTGGACATCTCCTAGAATTCTAAAGAGGGAGTTTGGCACTAACTTTTGGCTTTGTCTTCACTTCTTCTAATATCTTCCTATCTATTATCATCATCTCTAGATTTTGGGCTTGAGAGAGAGAAGTCAGTGCCCACTGTCTAACTGCTTGTTCCCTAAGTCTTTGTCCCCTTTTTCTTTCTAATAAAGGCTGGACGGTCCAGTGGTAGAGGGATCTATGAGGTTAGATAGTTAAGGTCACGAATTCATCCTAGAAAAATAATACATACCTCATTGCTAAATATCACTATGGTCACTTTTGAACTAGTCCCTTGGAGATGCTATGTACTGATGCCAGCACCTAGTCCACCCTTTAAAGCAATTTTGGAACATTTTGCTGGAATGGCTATCTGAGCTATTGTCTTACAAGGTATGACAAGTTCACAAACTTAATTGAAAAAGTGCTACATACCTCATTGCTGAGTATCACCACAGTCATTTTTGAAGTACTCTTGTGCGCCATCTAGTGACTAGTGATATTCAGCAATGAAGTATGTAGCATTTTTTCTAGAATGAGGTTGTGAACTTAATTGTTTGACCTCGTATCTTTGTTTACATCCTGAGTATTTTCTTTATTGTATGTCTATCTTAGTCCATTTTTGTTGCTTATAACAGAGTACTAGAAACTAGATAATTTATAAAGGAAATAAATGTATTTCTTATGGTTTTGGAGGATGAGAAGTCTGAGGTCAAAGGGCTGCATCTGGTGAGGACCTTCTTGCTGATGAGGACTCTGCAGAATCTCAGGGTAGGAGACATCACATAGCAAGGGGGCTGAGCATGCTGGCTCAGGTCTCTTTTTAGCTCTTATAAAGCCATTAATGCCACTCCTATAATAATCCATTAATTCATTACTTCATTAATCCATGAGTGGACTAATTCATTCATCATTCATAAGAGCAGAGCCCTTAATGACCCAATCACTTCTTCTTCTTCTTCTTTTTTTTTTTTTTTGGCCAGGGCTGGGTTTGAACCCGCCACCTCCAGCATATGGGGCTGGTGCCCTACTCCTTTGACCCATAGGCGCCACCTGACCCAATCACTTCTTAAAGACCCCCTTAATTGTGTATTAAGTTTCAACATGAGTTTTGGAGGGGACAGACATTCAACAACTCTGTGGTTGTGTCTTATGTGCATAAATAGGGACTTAAAGAATATAGAAAAATGTTAAATGTGATTATCTTGTCTTAAGAGTTTGGGCAGTGGCTTCTTAGATTAAAAACTAAAGTACTCCCATGGTTCTGGGTAGAACTATCTATATAGAAAGGTGAGATCAAAACCCAATTCTGCCAGGATTAGCCTGTTACTCATATCCTACATATTTAGAAAAACAATAAGAATACACTGAAAAGATGAAAAGGCCAATAATACTTATTTATTTGATAAGAATTATTGGTATCACTTGCAAAGAGGGAGAAGACTTCTCTTTGCAACACAAGATGGGAAGCTCCAAGAGAACCATTTGGAAGGTTTAATATATGTCCCTTGGGATTTGGTTTCTGACTTATGCCTGAAAAGTCTAAACGCAAAAGAGTCTGTTAGATGCTTTGGAATGACAGAGTAAAGAGGAAGATAGATGTACTTTCAATGTTTGGCATAACAAAGGTTTATGTATAATGCATATAGATCAGGCATGGATCTCACAGACAGGGGCTATATATCATTTTGAAAGATAACATGCCTAGTATGACTTCCCGCAAAGGGCAAAATAACCTCAATCAAAAGAAGCTGGGAAGGTGGCCCAAAGGAGTAGGGCACCAGCCCCATATACTGGAGATGGTAGGTTCAAACCCAGCCCCAGTCAAAACTGCAAAAAAAAAAAGGCTGGGAATTCTATCATCAGATGTAAAAGCCGGGGATATCATAAGTAGGAACAAGGTGAGAGAGCCCTAGTGATAGGAGAATCTCCAAGGAATTCTTCAAAATATTTCCATGTTTAAAAGAGACAGCATTTGGTTATCTGTTATACCCAAAAGGTAACAATGTCATATAATGGTATCAATCACGATCAAGAAAGACCTTTTCTGTCCCTTTCTTCAACACCTTTCCTCTAATCTACTGCCAGAGGAACACAAAGAGTAGCTACTAAATAAGCAAAGGAGAAGAACAAGAAATAGGTAAGAAACCAAAGATGGTTGCTACCCCCCCCCCACTGCGTGTTGTAAATATAAATCAAGCCCAAATTGGGAAAAGGAAAAGAATACAAATTAAATAAGAAGAGTCTGAAGCTGTGATATTACACTGGGCTTTTTGTTACCTAAAAAGAACCACAGTGGAACCTCTGTAAGTTGTTACACTCAAGGGGCTGTAACAAACTGGTCAGCATTTGAAGGTGGTCAACATAGGAACTAGGCCTACTGAACTGGTATGTATGTTTGTTGCATGTCCAGTCTATAAAAATTAGGTCAATGTAAGGAAGTGGTAAGTGTAGGAAGGTGGTCAGCTATGGAGGTTCTATTGTATTATGAGAGAATAGTAGAAAAGCATTAGTAAAAAGGATCCACCTGAAAGTTTATTTGGAGGCAAGAAAGCACTATTTTGACAGGGTGAATTTAAAGGGAAATATCATCTTAGCCAGAAGGCTGAGAAGCTATTTAAAAGGGAAATATCAAAGAATAAAATTTTCTGCTTACTGAATTCAGCTGTTCAATTAGCAGACTAGGAGCTTCTCACATTTGTTTTTTAACTCTATTGTCTTGCTCAGGACTCAGAAATCTCATTTTAGTGGTCAAAAGGTGAAGCTTGATCCTTTGGTATTTTTTTCTTCTTGTAATAGCCACTCCTTTCCTCCATATGTGGATAGAATTGGAAGCAGTCTAATTTGTGGAAGTGCAAAAAGAAAAAAGAGAAGAAAAACATTATCTTTCATGTTAACAGAAGTTCTTACCACAAGAATCTTGGGAAATTGGATTGCTGTCCCTTTGGCATAAATGAGGCAGTCAAAACAGGTTAAATAGCTTGTTTCAGGCCACTAAAGTGTGAATGACAGATTTGGGGTTTTGTTTTGGTTTTTTGAAACAGAATCTCACTCCATTGCCCTGGGTAGAGTGTCATGGTGTCATCATACCTCACAGCAACCTGAGGTTCTTGGGCTCAAGCAATCCTCTTGCCTCAGATTCCTGAGTAGCTGGAACTACAGGCTTGAGCCACCAAGCTAGCTAGTTCTTTTTCTATTTTTAGTAGAGACAGGATCTTTCTCTTCCTTGGGCTGGTCTCAAACTCCTGAGCTCAAGCAATCCACCTGCATTGGAAGCAATCCACCTGCGTTGGCTTCCCAGAGTGCTAGGATTGTAGGAGTGAGCCACTACACCCAGCCCAGATTTAGGGTTTAAATTGAAGTCTGTTTGATTCTAAACACTGTGCCTCATCCTCTATACATATTGTCTCACCTGATAAATGTAGAAAATATCACCTTCTTATTAAACTATTTGTTCATACAGATATGGTAACATTTTTCTAACCAATTTTTTTACAGCTAATTAATTACATATAAATGTCTTTAAGTATAATATTATTTGAAAATTCTCAAAAGTTACTGAAAGATTTTGTTCTTATTATAGAGGGATGACTTTATCAGACCACAGTATTTCTCCAAAACCAAAGTGTACTTCAAATTCAGAATCAGGTAATAAGTAGTGAAACTAATTATTTTCATGATTCTGTATTTCTTTATATTTGCTACATTGAAGCATGTGTTAAAAAAATTGGTAGTTCAGGAAAATGGGTCATTTTTGGCTTGGTTGTATTTAAGAAATGAAGATATGTGAAGTTAAAAAGTAGGGCTTAACTATTTCCACAACGTGCATTATTTATTCATTTAATAAACATTAAGTAAGCATGGACTCTGTAGTAGGCACTGTTATGTATACCAATGGGAAATGGTACACTTTTCCTGCCTTTATAAGTTTCAGTCATAGAGAGGAAGATATATATTACAGACAGGAACAAATACATTGTAGTTATGTGTGATAATTGAAAAATAAAGAGATCAGCAAATAGACTTGCATCATTGACCCTCTATTATTCAGTTCACTATTAGAGTAAATTTAGCAAGACATTTACATCCCTATTAACCTCTGCCATGTGTTGGTTTTCTTTTTTCTTTATTCCTTCCAACAAGTTTTATAGCATCTATTTGAGAGTAAACGTGAAAAAATGCTGCTTTTGCTCTTGATGGTTGTAAATGTTTATATGAATGAAAAACGTATTTATTTGCATAATGCTTCTTCACTTTAAGAAATCTTAAATTAGGGCAGTGCCTGTGGCTCAGTGAGTAGGTCGCCCGCCCCATATACCAAGGCTGGTGGGTTCAAACCTGGCCCCAGCCAAGTTGCAACAAAAAAATAGCTGGGCATTGTGGCGGGTGCCTGTAGTCCCAGCTACTCAGGAGGCTGAGGTAAGAGAACCGCCTAAGCCCAGGAGTTGGAGGTTGCTGTGAGCTGTGTGATGCCACGGCACTCTACTGAGGGCAATAAAGTGAGATTCTGTCTCTATTAAAAAAAAAAAAAGAAAAGAAATCTTAAATGAGCATTTACTAAATGCCAAGCATTATACTAGGAACTGTCAGTATAAAAATGATTAAGATAAATTCTGCTCTGAGTGAAATTAGTCTAGTGATAAGAACTAAACTTGTAAAAGTATAGATCCTTGGAAAGAGTAGTATGTTCTATTCTGGAGGGCAAAAGTTATTTAGAGAGAAAATTTTTTTTATAGATTAAAGAGTAAGGGACTATGTGAATAATACGTTGAGAGAGGTAATAAAGAGAATGTGGTAAGGGCACCAAAAAAAGACCATGTTTTTTCCTAGGTCTTGTCCAGTAAGAAGTTTTACTTTAGCTACAGAAAATATTATCTGTTATATAAAGCTTAGGGATAGGAGAGGTAGCGATTCTGGAATTATGTGTGCTTTTTTTTTCTTTTATTTGTTAATTGAATTTAAAATTAAATGTAAATGTATCTTGCTCTATAGGTTTTTTTTTTTTTTTTTTTACAAATTTCTCTTTCTTTTTAAAATTTTTTTGTTAGAGACAAGATCTCACTGTCACCCAGGCTGCAATGGCCTGATCATAACTCACTGTAACCTTGACATCCTGAGTTCAAGTCAACCTTTCACCTCAGCCTCCAGTGAAGCTTAGGACTATAGGCATGAGCCACCATGCCTGGATAATTTTCTTATTATTTTTTGTGAGACATGGTCTTGATATACTGCTCAGGCTGGTCTCAAATTCTGGAGCTCACGCAATCCTCTCACCTCAGCCTCCCCAAAGTGCTAGGATTATAGGCATGAGTCACCATGCCCAGACAGCATTTCCTAAATCAATAAGACCAACTGTGTTCCAGTTGTGTGCCAAACTCTTTCCTAAGTGTTCAGAAATTGAGAAATAGGCTAGGTGCATTGGCTCACACCTGTAATCCTAGCACTCTGGGAGGCCAAGGCAGGTGGATTGCTTAAAGCTCAAGAGGTAAAGACTGGGCTTTGTGGCGGATGCTTGTAGTCCCACCTACTTAGGAGGCTGAGGCAAAAGAATTGCTCAAGTCCAACAGTTTGAGGTTGCTGTGAGCTTTGATGCTATGGCACTCTACCCAGGGCATTAGGAGTCTACACAGTGAGACTCTGTGTCAAAAAAAAAAGAAAGAAAAAAGAAATTGAGAAATATTTGTGTTCCTGTCCTCAAGGATTCTGTCGGCTAGTAATCTAGACAAACGAAGAAATTCTCAGGCAACTCTTGCTCAAGCTCCTTTTTTAAATTTACTATTATTAATCATTAAATGTGGGCATTTTTCAAGGCCAGCTGCTAGCATCTAATCTCTTTTTAATCCACTACCTGATAAGTATAGGTGTCCTGTAATAGTCATGGTTTCCAAATTTTCTGTTGGTATAGAATTTACTCTGAGGTTAAGACCTTCATATATACCTGCCTTCTGCTCTCTTGGATATTTTAGAGGCATACAATTCACCATTTGTTAATTCATTCACTCAGCAGATATTTATTAAGCACCTACAATGTGACACTCTTAGTTTCTAAGAAACATGACAAAGTCCTCGTCCTAACAGAGCTTATGTTATAGTAGAAAAAAGAAGATAATAAACAGATAAATAAATATGTAGCATAACATTAGGTACAAATAACAGTAAAGAAGGAAAATAAAGCAGGGTAAACAGAGACAATGTGACTAGTGTGACTAGGCATGCTATTTTAGATAGGGTAATCAGATTTCTGAGGAGGTGACATTTATGCAGAGCCTAAATACAGTCAGAGAGTTGGCCATGTGAAAATGTGGGGGCAGAGCATGCCAAGCAAAGGAAGCAACAAGTAAAAAAATCTATGAAATTGGAATATGCTTAGCATATTTGAAGAAGAGAAAAGACATTAGTCTGGGTGGAGCAGAGTGAGTGAGATGAATGGTTGAAATTGTGGTCTAAGAGCTAATCAGATGGTACAAAGTAGAGTCTGGTATGCTGTGGTAAGAACTAGGGGTTTTATTCTAAATATGCTGAGAAATATAGCCTAGACCATCTTAAAGCAGAGGGATAACATGGTAGATATATATTTAATCTTTTAATTTTCAACTTCATTTCATTTTAATTAACTTATTTAAATAGCCCCATAGGCTGGTGGCTATAACATTAGATAATACTACTTTAAGGTATTTATATGTGTAGTGAGATGGAAGATAATCTATCTGAGGAACCATGGTTTTTACCTGTTCTGTCTATATCACTCCAGGGGAGAAAACTAAGCTGCAGAAACTACGTTTCCAAGACCCCTTGGGTTCTTTGTTCCTATGTTCAATATTTCTATGGTTGTGAGGTTCTAAGAGGTATTATTTTTCTATATCCTAAAGTCTCAGATATATATTTTAGAATTCTTGCACTGGCTGCCATGTGGAGAATAGACTAAGGCAGCAGGAATGGAAGCAAGGAAACCTTGTTAAACTATTATAGTTGTCAGATAATGGTGTCTTAGACCAAGTGGCAGCAGTGGTTGATTTGGAATGTATTTTAAAGGCAGATGTGCCAGGATTTTCTGATTAGGCTAGATATTAGTAGGAGAGAAAAACAGAAGTCAAGGATGAGTATTAAATTTTTAGCTTGAACAAGGAAGTGAATGATGTTATTTATTGAGATAGAAGCACTGTAGAGCAGAGCAAGTTAGGAGAATTTTTAAGTAAGTTTTGTTTGAATATATTAAATTTGATTTGTCATCCCATGCACATAATGTTATGTCAAAGAATACACACACAAACATGTGTATACTGTAAAATTTCATATATATGACGTTCAAGAACAGATGAGAGTATTCTGGATGATACATATCAGAATAGTGATAGTCCTAGTAAAAGGGATGCTAACTGGGAAAGAACACATGGGAAAATTCTGGAAATGTTTTATATCTTAATCTAGGTGGTGCTTATATGAATGAATACATGTACACATAAGATTTGTGATCATAACTGTATATATGGTATACTTCAATAAAATATTAAAAAATTGAGAGGCTGTTAGCTTTCAAGTAGAGATACCATGAGGGTAATTTGTGATGCAGAAATCTGGAATTCAGAGAAGAGGTTGGGATTGTGAGTATATATTTGGAGTTAGCATATAGATACTTTAAAGCTATCAAATTAAATGAAATTGCATAGGGAGTGAAAATAAATAGAAATAAGACATATAAAAAGAATGGAAATAGGAAATTCCAACATTTAGAATTAGGGAACAGGAGAAGTATCCAGCAAAGGAAACTGAGACTTAGTACAGCAGTAGGAAAACCAGGAGAACATGGTACTTCAGAAGCCAGTAGAGGAGTATGTTTTTCAAGAAAGGAATGATTCCAGCTATGACGAAAATTAAGAATATTAAGTAAAATGAGGATTGAGGACTGAGAATTATCACAAGTAAGACTTACCCTGATCCTACTCCAGGATCCTACTTCCAAATTTTGGTACCAGTTTTTTCACTTGCTGAACTCTTAAACCCACTTACTACTTTTTGCCTTAGAAAATGCATATGGCAGGAGCATGTAGCCACTAGGGTTGCCATAATAGTTTAAGAAGGAAAACTTAATATACATTGACTAATCTGACATTCTGTAGATAGGAAACTTTCCCTTTATCTCATATCTCCTCCCTTAATTTAATTGCTATCTTTACCAATTAAAGATAAAAAATGGTCAGTTAAATTTTAATTCAGATAGAAAAAGTGATTTTTTAATACAAGTATATCCCAAATATTGCCCATGCATATACTATTGTAAGTGATATACTAAAATATTATTCTATGTTTATTTGAAATTCAGATTTAACTGGGCATCCTATATTTAATGCGGCAGCTCTACTAGCCTTTGGAATGAGGATAAGGAATATGTAAGCAAGGAATATGTAAGCAATATGGAGATCTCATAAAAGAAAAGACTTTGTATGCTAAATTAAGGAAATTGAGTTTTCTCACTGGAGGGCAATGGAAAGCCTTTGAAGAGTTTTAAACTAATGATACTAGATTTACATTTTAAGTATACAAGGAGGAAAAATGGACTGCTGAGGGAGAGAAATTGAAAAGTTATTGAAATCTCAGAAAAATCTTTTGGTGCATTAAATCAAGGTGATGGTATTAAGAATAAAGAAAATGTTGAATATGTGGTATTATATGATAGGTAAAATTGGCATGTAGCATACACTGAATAAATATTTGTTGCCTTGTATGGAGTCTGAAGAATGAGGAAAAAGGAAGACTCAAGAATAAAGAGGAACCATAAAAAGAGGCCAGAGAGGGAAAATGTTCATCTTTGTTGTATTGAGGTCCAGTGAGGTAGGACAGGAAAGGTTTATTCTGATAATTGGTGAGGAGTGAAACTGGATTGCTTTGCATTTGATAGTAAATAGGAAGAGAGGAAGTAAAGTTAGGGTCTGTAGACACCTATTTGAAGAAACTTGCCCATGGACAAGAGGGGAAAGGGGCTGTAGCAGGAGGGAGGAGATATGAGATAAAGGGAAAGTTTCATATCTACAGAATGTCAGATTAGTCAACATATATTAAGTTTTCCTTCTTAAACTATTATAAAGGCACAGTCACTAAAATCAGGGTTTTTTTTTTTTTTTGAGACAGAGCCTCAAGCTGTCCCCCTGGGTAGAGTGCCATGGCATTACAGCTCACAGCAACCTCCAACTCCTGGGCTCAAGCGAGTCTCCTGCCTCCGCCTCCCAAGCAGCTGGGACCACAGGCGCCCGCCACAACGCCCGGCTATTTTTTGGTTGCAGCCGTCATTGTTGTTTGGCGGGTCCGGGCTGGGGATTCGAACCCGCCACCTTAGGTGTACGTGGCTGGTGCCTTAGCCGGTTGAGCTATAGGCGCCGAGCCTAAAATCAGGGTTTTTAAAAATTTTGTTTTGTTTTGTCAAATTTGAATTTTCACGTCCTCTGGACTTACAGTTAATGATAGGTTAGAGTCCTAAACTATGTTTTTATTTATAGATAACGCCACTTGTGAAGTTTTACTTGCTAAGAAAACTTGCCCAGCAACCTCTGAAAAAACAAAGAAAAAAGTAAGTATTGAAGCAGAATAATTACATAAGTTATGAATTTCATTAATAATGTGCTTTTTGTTTGGAGATAGGGTCTCATTCTGTTGGCCAGGCTATAGTGCAGTAACATCATTATATCTCACTGCAACCTCAAATTCTTGGCCTTAAGTAATCCTCCTCCCTCAGCCTCTCAAGTAGCTGCAACTATAGGCACCTGCCACCATTCCCAGCTATTTTCTTTATTTTTATAGAGAAGAAGGTTTCCACTGTCTTGCCCAGGCTGGTCTCAAACTCAAGATCCCGCCACTGTGACCTCCCAAAGTACTAGGATTATAGGCATGAGTCACCATGCCTGGCCAAAGACATACTTTTAACCAATGCTTTTATTGTAATTATTTTTCACCTATTTAAGTCAATAATTAAAAGTATTTTTGGAGTTTAACAAATTATTCAATTTTGTGAAAAACCTAAGCTGCATGTACTTGAATATATATTCTGTATAAGTTTAATGAAAGAATATTAAAATGTACAGTAGTTCTCCCCTTATCTGCAGGGGATCTGTTCCAAGACCCTCAGTAGTTGCTTGAAAACTACAAATGGTACTAAACCCTATATATGTACACTGTGTTGTTTTGATCTGTTAACTAAGATGGCTATTAAGTAACTAATGGGTGGGTAGTTTATACAGCATAGATATGCTGGGCAAAGGGATGATTTATATCTTGGGCTGGACAGAGGGGATGAGATTTTATCATGCTACTCAGAATAACATACAATTTAAAATGTATGAATTGCTTATTTCTGAAACTTAACATCCAATATTTTCAGATTGCAATTGACAGCAGGTAACTGAAACTATTAAAAGCAAAACCATCAATAAGGGGAGAATCTACTGTACTTCACATTTTTTCCAACTTTCCTTTGAATAGTTTTCCCTTAATGTAGGGTAAAAATAAGAAATTTGCCATGTAGCCAGAGCAATGTTTTATCCTAAAGATTATTTGTGAATCAGTATGTTAGGCTTGGAATCTGTGGATCTTTGGAGGAAGACTTGGAACTTTATTTTTAAGACTTAGATTATTTCTTTAAGTGACTTTTCATTAATTATATTTTTATGTTATTCCAGTCAGTTAAGTAGTTGCATTTTTTGTTTGTTCTTACAAATTTTATAGCTAAGAAAACTGAAGTTTAGATTTTCACAATTTTTTTTGGAGGATCTAGTGGTAGGTCTTTCTAGATCTAAAACCTGTGCTTTTCCTACTATTCCACTGTCATTGTAATAAATTAGGAGCAAATTAAAAGAGGGTATAAGTTTCAGCAGGGTGACCTATTAGTAAGAAGTTACAACAATTTTTGGTGAAAGATTGTGATGCCTTTGACTATAGTATTTTGTAGGAGAAATGGAGAGAATTGTATGGCTTCAAGATAATTTTGCTGGTAGAGTTGATAGATTGGATATAGAGGATGAAGAAGTGAGAACTGTGAAGAAAGACATATGTTTCTGTCTTGAGCAGCTTTGGTGGTGGATAAAGATGCTATTTACTGTAATAGGAAGATTTGAAGATACATGAAGATGGAAATGTTGAGAGGGCCATGAGCTATAAATCTGGAGGTCAGAGGAACAGATGGGGAGTGTTCAGCATTACATATATATATATATATTTTTTGGGGGGGGGCAGTTTTTGGCCAGGGCTGGGTTTGAACCCACCAACTCCAGCATATGGGGCCGGCGCCTTACTCCTTTGAGCCACAGGTGCCACCCTGATATATATTTTTTAAAGTCATGGAAATGAATGAAATCATCTGGGAAGGAGTATCTATAGTGTTAAGAAGAAAAGAGGGTCAAGGATCATTCCTTGGAAAACTCCACAGTCATGTAGAATTGAAAGAGTGGCTAGAGAAAAGGAGAAAAATAAACAAAATATGATATCTTAGAAGTCAAGAGAAAAAAGCATTTCACCCACAAAAGGGAAATAGTCAACAATGTTGACTGCTGCTTGGAGATCCATTGTTAGAACAGTCAGATATGACAGGAATGTTGGAATTATCAGACCAGGAATTTTTAAAAACTACGGCTAATGGCCAGGTGTGGGGGCTCATGCCTGTAATCCCAGAATTTGGGAGGCCAAGGAGGGTGGATTGCCTGAGTTCACAGGTTCAAGAACAGCCTGAGCAAGTGTGAGGCCCCGTCTCTAAAAATAACCAAGCTTTGTGGTGGGCACCTGTAGTCCCAGCTACTTGGGAGGCTGAGGCAAGAGAATTATGTGAGCCCAGGAGTTTGAGGTTGCTGCGAGCTATGACACCACGACACTCTACCAAGGGTGCCAATGTGATACTCGCAAAAAACAAAAAAAAAAAAACAAAACAAAACAAAAAACCAAAACTGTGGCTAATGTGCTTAGGGCTTTAATGGAAAAAGTAGATAATGTGCAAGAACAGATGGATAATGAGATGGAAATTCTAAGAATCAAAAATAAATGCTAGAGATTAAGAATACTGTAACAGGAATGAAAGATATCCTTGGATGGGCTCATTAGTAGACTAGACACAGGAGAAAAAAGAACATCTGAGTTTGAAGATATAGCAATATAAACATCTAAAACTGAAAAGAAAAGAGAAAAAAGACTTTTAAAAAGACAAGAATATCTGAAAACTATGGCACAACTACAAAAGTTGTAATATACATAGCCTGACAAAGACAAGACAAACAACAAAAAAGTCTATACAGTAGCTTCCCCTCTTACTTGCATGGGGATATGTCTCAAGACCCTCAGTGGGCGAAGCCTCCGATAATACCAAACCCTGTGTACTCTGTTTTTTCCTATATAGCAATGGGCAGGTAGCATATACAACGTGGATATGGTGGACAAAGGGATGATTTATGTCCTGGGTGTGATGGAGCAGAACAATGCGAGATTTTATCATGCTATTTTGAATGGTATACAGTTTAAAAACTTACAAAGTATTTCTGGTATTTTCCACTAATATTTTCAGACCAAGGTTGACCATAGGTAACTGAAAACACAGTAAGTGAAGCTGGATAAGGGGGAACTGTTGTACATATAAAGGAAACATCAAAAGGAACAGAACAGAATGGAATAGAAGAAATACTTTGAAACAATAATGACTCCTAATTTCCTCAAATTAATGTCACAAACCAAACAATAGATCTAGGAAGCTCAGAGCACACCAAGATAGATAAATGCAAAAAAACTATACATACGCATATTATATGCAAACTTAAGAAAATCAAATATAAAGAAATTTTGAAAGAAGCCAGAGGAAAAAAATATCTTCCCTATAGAGGAGTGACAATAAAAACTATAGACATCTCCCTAAAAATTATGCAAGCTAGAAGAGTGGAGTGAAATATTTTATTGTTAAAAGAAGATGACTCACCAACCTAGAATTACATACCCAGCAAAATTATCCTTCAAAAATGGAGGAGAGGGCAGTGCCTGTGTCTCAAAGGAGTAGGGTGCTGGCCCCATATACTGAAGGTGGTGGGTTCAAACCTGGCCCCAGCCCAAAAAATTGCAAAAAAAAAAAAAAATGGAGGAGAAATAAAGACTTTTTTAGACAAAAGTGAAGGAATTTTTTATAAGTATACCTACCTTGCAAGACAGGTTGAGATAAGTTGTTCATAGAGAAGAACAATAAGTCAGAAACTGAGATCTGCATAAAGAAAGACTTTCAAGAATCTGTGAGGGAAGATAAAAACATTAATTTTATTATTCTTAATTGATTTAATATATATAGTTCAAAATAATAATGGTACCAATGTAGTTGATTATGTATGCTCATGTATGTTTTTGTATATGTTATATACATTGTGTATACTTATGTATAAGTAAGATAGACGACAGCTATGATAAAAGGGATAGAATGGCAGGATTAGGAATATTTTGTTATTGAAAAGTACTTGTACCACCCATGAAATGGTATGGTGTTATTTGAAAATGGACTTGGATTAATTTTAAATGTGTAATGCAAATTTATTTATTTATTTATTTTTATTGTTGGGGATTCATTGAGGGTGCAAAGAACCAGGTTACACTGTTTCCATTTGTTAGGTAAAGTCCCTCTTATAATTATGTCTTGCATTCAAGATATATTACAAATTTTAAAGGTCACTGGTCTAGATGTACCAATTAAAGACAGATATTGTCAATGGATCAAAAAACAAGACCCAGCTGTATGTTTTCTTTTTTCTTTCTTTCTTTTTTTTTGAGACAAGAGTCTCACTATGTTGCCCTCAGTAGAGTGCTGTAGCATCACAGCTCACAGCAACCTCAAACTCTTGGGCTTAAGGTATTCTCTTGCCTCAGCCTCCTGAGTAGCTGGGACTATAGGCACATGCCATAATGCCTATCTATTTTTTTTTTTTTGGTTGTAGTTGTCATTGTTGTTTGGCAGGTCCAAGCCAAGTTCAAACCCACCAGCCCCAGTGCCCCAGCTGATGAGCTACAAGGGCTGAGCCCAGCTGTATGTTTTCTGTGAAAAAAATCCGCTTTAAATATAAAGACATGTATAGTTTTAAAATAAAGGTATGGAAAAATATAATCATGCTAACAATAATCAAAATAGGAATAGCTGTATTGATTTAGTTATCAGGAATAAGGAAGGGTATTATATTAGGATAAAGGAGGCAATACTGTAAGAAGACATAAAATTCTTAATTAACACACACACCAAGCAACGTAGCATTAAAATATATAAGGCAAAAACTAATAGAACTTCAAGGCAAGTTAGATGAACCTGCTGCTATTATAGTTGAATACTTTTACATCTGTCTATCCAAAATAGACCTGGGCCAGGTTTGATGGCTCACGCCTGTAATCCTAGCATTCTGAAAGGTGAGGTGGGTGGATTGCTTGAGTATAGGAGTTTGAGACCAGCCTAAGCAAGAGTGAGACCTCGTCTCTACTAAAAACAAAAAAACAGGCTTTATAGTAGGCGCCGGTAGTCTCAACTACTGGGGAGGCTGAAGCAAAAGGATTGCTTGAGCCCAGGAGTCTGAG